GATTTTGTTACGTTTTTATAATATTCGTATTAGATATTGATTTTTTAATAGTTATTTCTTATTTCTTTATTCGTCATAAATTCCTTTCCTGTCTGATACAATATAGAATTTGAACTTTAGGAGAACGGTTTTAAAAGACTATCGATTGATGAGGATAAAAAAGCAGGTGGATAGAGTTTCCAGGTTACGATGACAGGAGGAATGCGGTTAATAATTAGAAAACGCGGCACGTAGAGAAAGAAAACGTAATGCTGTTCTTGGGCACGAGTTAACTAATAACGGTTCTTTTCTACGGATCTCTATTACGGAGAGGTGTCGCGTTTGACACCGGCGATCGTTGAATTAATGTTACGTCGTTTGACCGTTGATCTCTCGCGGCTATCACCTTAGATTCATCCACACACGTACAGATTTTATCACGGATCCGTTGCGATGAAATTACAGCAAAGGTGTACAACATGAAATCTGCTAAAGTCCATTAAGGATGTACTGGCTATACAGTCAATCCCAAAAATTTATGTACCTTAGAAAAACGCATTTCCTATAATTAAAAAGAAATCAGACGTCGGAAGAACAATGCTAATAATAAATAGCTACGTGCTAAAAAGTATACAAGAAAATATCCAATTAAGTATTGACACTGACGAAAAATTTTTTTTTCAAAATTGCGAAAAATGCTTCAAATAAAAGTTGTTTTTCTTCTAACTTCGATATTTAATGAGTTACATATGATAATTTTAGATTTTTAATAGTAATAGGAATCTATAATAACAAATTCAACATGCCAGCATTGTTTAAGTATATGTGTAGCCTATACATCCTTAAGAAAGAGTTCATAGAAAAATCAGATGGATAAATCAATCGATTGGTTCTTCGCGCAAATGAAATTCGTGATGGAATGAAATAATTATAAATCCACTGGGTATCATTAATGTGGAATTTTATATATAAATTTGACAAGTAAAATTTGTACGTGTATGAAGGCCTCTTCCTGTTTTTTATTCGATAGGATGTTTCATAAAACTTGACGATTTCGTAACCGCGCGACGGAATCGCGAATCGGAGAAAGCGTTAATCCTAGTTGTCTATGTTCCTTGTCTTTCTTATTTTATTTAACGTGACCGATGGAACGGAAGGCCAGTTTCTGTGTCACGGATCCGTGATAAGCTTGCTCGATACCGCTATCCGCGCGCACGATCGATGTCTCAACGTCCTCCTCGCCGCGCTTCCGACGCGAACGCAGCGAAATCGTACGGGAGTTCACTCATTGGAAATTAAAAATTTTGTTCACCACTTAATTATGTTTGTAAAGTAAAATTGATTAGAATTCATTCATAAGACTGGTTTTGTATGCAACATTTGTTTAAGAAATAAAAGCGAGATTATGGTTTGACCTTTTATAATCATATGCACTATATTTTTGCTGTTCTGTAGTACATGCATTTTTTTATATTAGATTTAATCAAAATTTAAAAGTTTGTATGTAAGTTTTTTAAGATACAATATTCATAAGTCAGAACTATGTGAATGCAATTTGTATTACCGACTAGTTACGCTTATCACGTTCAGGATTTCCGGTCTCCCTATTTCAAAAATCTACCGTTACATAAAACCTTTGAAGTCATAAAGAAACGAGAAGATAATTTCGGAAAAATTAAATTTTTGTATATCTCCAGGGTGGATTTCGATTGCAAATCTTGGATGGCCTTGACAGGCCACTGGTTGATCTAACTCCTGTGACTAAGAACAGCGAGTTCGTCGAGGACGACGCCACGTGAGTAAAAAACAGTCAATCATTTCTTTTTTAAAAGTATTCCTTCGATGCTTAAAAAATAATTTATTGATCTTTAGCGCGCAGGCTTACGCCGTGCAGTTGCCTCAGAACTTCACGTGCACCGACTGCACGATCCGACTCCTTCGAGAGGCTGAGGAATGGGGAGCGAGTTACAGATTTTGGTCCTGCGCCGATATCGATGTAAGCATTTCATTAAAGAATTAATGGTAGCAAGAAATAAATATTTATGGAAACACTGTTTAGTGTGCAATAACATCTATGAATAATAAAAATATAATACAGAATTAAATGTATAATAAATAAAAGGATAGAATGTATAAAAATTAAATTGCTGTTCGCTAGATCGTCGATAGAAAGGGCTACAGGGAGGATTGCAGCGGTCACGGCCGATATCTGCTGGGTCGTTGCAGATGCGATCGGCTCTATCACGGGACGAGATGCGAATTTAAGGAAGAATGTCTCGATGACTCCGACTGCGGTATTCAGGGCACGTGCGTCGACACTGGTGGCACGACCGCGCCCACCAAGCACTGCTACTGCAACATGGGTTGGTTTGGACCGGGCTGCGCCAAGAGTAAGTCTCGTCGAACCACAGTTCGATGCATTCCGTCGAGAACCTTTCAACATTTCTTACATTACATTTCTTAGGATCTCCGGTTAAGACCATTGACGTAGAGTTAGATGCCTACACCATAAAAAAGTTCTCGGACAATTTTACATTCTATTGGCGGATACTGAAGGAAAGCAAAGAGCTTGAGGGCATTATCGTGGCGAACAGCACGACTTGGGTCGGTATCGGCTGGCGACCCAGCGATCTGACGCCAATTTGTCGATCTTTCCCCAATATTCAAGAACGACCGAAGGACGAGCCGCTTCCGCAACCGGAACCGAAAGCGGAACCGGAACCAGAGCCAGAGTCCGAGCCAAAGGCTGAACCGAAACCGGAACCTGAGCCAGAATCTGGACTCGAGAAGTCAGGTACCAAACGGAGATCGGCTAAAGCTCACGATCTCGCGTTGTTGGCTTCGACTCCTCGATCCGACGTCGACGTCACGGTACAAACGAGCGTGACTTATCGTGTTAGCACGAAGCAAGGTGAGAATCAAATTGTATTAAATTTGCACTTCGTGATGTGTCGCAAGTATTTGAGTTGTGAGAGGATTGTATGACGCGTTTTCTTTAAACAGGACGTAAGAAGAGATCACCCGAGGCCACGAAAACTTCTTCCAACGGTACGTATTGATATTTAACACAAAAGACCCCACGCTATCCCGTATTTACGTAGCAGCAACGTGTAGTGCTTCCCAAAGAGTAGAATATTCGGCGACCCTCCTTTTATTTTGAGTCACTACGCACGTGGTGGTGGTCCGTAAAATACAGTAGGTAGTTGGCACGACGAACGATGCTTTGTTGCACAGGGGAACCCGTCGCCGAGCCGAGCACTGTCGACAGCACCAACACCACGCCCGAACCAGAACCTAAATCTGAACCTGAACCCAAGTCTGAGCCTGAACCTAAATCTGAACCGGAACCTAAATCCGAACCGGAACCGAAATCCGAACCGGAACCGAAATCCGAACCGGAACCTAAATCCGAACCGGAACCGAAATCCGAACCAGAACCGAAATCCGAGCCTGAGCCTAAATCTGAACCAGAACCGAGTTCGGAACCGGAGCCAAAACCTGAACCTGAGCCTAAATCCGAGCCTGAACCCAAGTCCGAACCAGAACCCAAGTCCGAACCAGAACCCAAATCCGAACCAGAACCCAAGTCTGAGCCGGAGCCCAAATCCGAACCCGAACCCAAATCTGAACCTGAGCCCAAATCCGAACCGGAACCAAGTTCGGAACCGGAGCCGAAATCTGAGCCAGAACCTAAATCAGAACCAGAACCAAAGTCCGAACCGGAACCAAGTTCCGAACCAGAACCAAAATCTGAACCGGAACCCAAGTCAGAGCCGGAACCAACCTCGGAACCGGAGCCGATTTCAGGTCCCAAGTCGAGCGCAACGAAAGGTAAAAGAAAGCTGAGATGAGCTAATTCAACGACTTATCTTTCCTCGTATACATACTGCACGTGCTTCACGTTGTACAGAGCTGACGTTCACACATTTATAGAAGTGTCTGCAATTTCATAGTGAAGAATATTCCATTATCTAAAAAATATTATCAACGTTTATGCATCCGTAATATAATTAATATGTATTAATTTCCGAGATTTCTATGAAAGTGTGAATCCTTCGACAATACAATTGATATAAATTATAAAACACTAATTACATGTAAAGATATAGATAAAACATGAATTAATAAGACAGTAGTGTCTAGAACCGACAGTAGTGTCTAGGAAAATATTAATGTTCACATAATCAGTAGAATACTAACATATTACATGTAAATTTGTACATTCGACTGAAACACGTAGAACGTTAATATTGCTATCTGTGATTTATATCTTTATCTTAGTACTAGCTTCTCTTACTGCTTTTTAATAATTCTCATTAACTTTCCCATAACATCTAGTAATATCGAAGTAATCTATTATTATTTCAAGCGCAACAAAGATATCAACACAAATACGTCTATCAAAACGATGTATCTTTCTCTATTGGTTTCCAATGTTAAATATAGCGAACATGGAACCATTATCATTCTCATAAGTATCGGCAAACTTGACTTTGACGAATTTTAAAAATCATCAAATTTCCAACTTGCATATTACTTTTATCTGACATGACATTTAAAAATCGAAGCTATCCTGCCTGGAGCACACAAGTACACCCCGAAACACGACTTCAACCCCATGGACTGTACGGACATCATAATCGGATCGGCACGTGGCAATAATCACAGGATCGGTGATTATTACACCAGAGACAGGTCCACCCCGAGGAAGGACGAATATTGGGGTGGGAGGGACACTCTGACTGCTGCCTTGGGCTACGAACGCGACGGTGTCACGACAATTCTCTTTAGAAGAAAACTAGCAGCGAACGAACCGACCGATCACGAAATTATCGACGGTAACATGCAGGTGATATGGGCCAAGGGACAAGAACCTGGAAAGTACATACATCAACCACCGAGTGGTATTGAAAAAGCCAAAGTCAGCGTAAAGGACTTCTACAAGGCCGACGAACTCAAGTATCACGGACACGGATCGCAAAGAGGAACCGTCACCCTTAATTTCTTCGGTAAATCAATGAAATTTAATTTAATATCGACAAATTTTAACATCAGATAATAACACTGATAGTCACTGACTGAAGCATCAATAATTAAGGTGTTCATTTAAAATGCATTCTGTTTACTATATAAGAACAAACGCGGTATAGAAGAGCATGCCTAGCCTGTGGTATTCATTCCTTTTTCTCACACACACCGATATTTTACTAATGTGTATTTGCGGTCTTCCCCAGTCCCCATACCTCGTGAAAGGCGAGACGCCTCGTGTAAAAACAGCATTTCTTTCCTACGTGCGATGTTATCGCTTTCGAGGCGACGAGTTTTTTACTTATTCCGGCACAACAGCAAAAAATCCGACGGACCAGTAAAAACCTCGGCACAGTAACAAAAACCGAACATGCTTTTTTCGGTGCCGCTGAAAAAGTATGTCGCGTGGTCCTCGCATGTTGACCGACTCACAGACCTACCCCAATCTCCACTAACCGATCTATATAGTCTATATACTATGTACCCAGCGTAACTAGGTCACTGTGCCAACAATACGAAATGCTGCGTCTAAAAACTTTGGAAAGCTATATCTCTGGAACGGATTGAGATATCGGGAAGAATCAAAAGTAATATTTTTCGTCTCGACTTCCTCTATCAACTAAGAGGGTTCTCAATAAAAAATTCAATATCTCTGTACCGATAAATTTACGTTCTTTTCTTCATTTTATACTATAGTAAGCGTTAGGATTGCTTAATCCGCTGATAATTTTATGGGACGATATTACATATTAATAATATTCAAAAATTACCATAAAAGCGCCTAAAAGGCTTCAATAAAGATACATCTATTTCAATTCGTGCCATTATCGTTATCCAGTGTTTTATAGAGATAAGTGGATATTAATGGAATTAATTAATATTTTCAGATGAAAAGGATAAACAAGAGGCGATGAACGAAGACGAAGTTATGACGCCAGTTTCAACCTGTCGTGGCGAGTGGCACTATCCGAAAAATTGTGTTCCAGGAAACGGCACCTGTGAATACTCCATTCAATGGACTTACAAAGAACGAAAAGTAATTCCTCATAAATATCTATATTTAATTTTCCACGACTCTGAAATTTGACTATCGAATATGCTTTTATAGGATCAACTATCGTTTATTATTTCCACGACCAATATCAACACTTGGACAGGTGTTGGATTTTCCAATGACGATAAAATGGTAAGAATTAAAGAATTAATTTGAAAATTAAGAAGCGAATTGATTCTCGTTTGTCTATTATCAGTCGCAAACAGACGCGGTGTTGGGCTGGGTCGATGATAAATCGGGTCGAGCTTTTCTCATGGACACTTGGATCAGCGGATATAACGCGCCGCTGCTCGACCCGTCCCAAGATATTTACAACACCGACGGCAGTAAAGTGGACGGCGTAACGACCCTCAAGTTCTCGAGGAAACGGATAACAAAAGACAATAGGGACCTCTCGTTCACTGACGATCACTGTCTATACATGATGTACCCAGTCAAGGGTGGCACTTTCAATGCCGTTAACAAGAAGATACGAAAACACGACGTCGTGCCTATTGTCTCTTCTGAGAAGATCTGTATTAAATCTTGCGGTCTCGAAGGTTTGTTTTTACAATTTTTCTATCTGATATTTTTGTGTGGATCTATTAAATGACTCCGTGGTGTTTAGAACTCGAGGATCTTACGACACCAGCTCCTCCAAGGTTGCATTATGACGTAGAAGTGAAGCTGATAAATCTGGGTGATGGTTTTATGGCGCCTACTCCTGGTAGTCCCGACTTTGAAGTTATTTCAAACAGAATAGCCGACAGCTTTGGACCGGTTCTCGATAAGCTACCAGGCTATTATCAAATACGTCTGAATGAATTGCAAAAGTGAGTGACTGCATACAGATGTACCGAATCACTTTAGAATATATTGATCATCTATTTTTAAATTGTATTTAGGGAAGAGGAGCAAAGCAGCGTTATTGCGAAGATGGATCTGATCTTAGACAAGAACGAAGTGAAAGGCAGATCGTTAAAGCCGGTGGAGACTAGCGCGGCAGCTGAGAAAGCGCTGAAGGAAGCTCTGGTCAACGGGAAAGTGGGTGCATTGAGCGTGGACCCTCAGTATTTAGTCATCAGAGCTCCTCGAGGTATACAGATATTTAAACACGTCTAACATTCAATTTCTAAATAATTTGCAACTGCTGACATTTTTCTGTAATGTGTTTTAATTCGATACCACGCGTTTCCCCCATGAATCGAAGGGAACGCTATCATTACAAGAAAATTAACAAAGCAAGTTTACGATTAGTGACGTGTTAACAATCTATTCATGCATATACCTTGTTCCATACAGTATGCACACTCGCCAGCAATTACAACGTACTAAATAATTTTTTTTAAGTAACTGCTTCATTTTAACAGTAATATTATTTTGCTTAACCGTTCGTCAGTTAGAGTATACTCGTATCGTTAGGTTTTTAAGAGATAGTTATAAGGCATCGATTCAACTTTGGACATTATTTCTATTCTGTTTTGGTCAGTGAATGACTTCGGCGGAGGAGACTCGGACGAGAGATCGTCCTTCGCGTCGGAACTGTTCCTCGACGCGACGAAGCTGTACATCGTCGTCGGATGCGTCGCTGCGCTGCTCGCGTTGGCCCTCCTACAAGCAAGCTGTACCCTCTACAGGTCGTCGAGAAGGCGAGCGACAAAGGTAACACGAATTTATCATCTATCACATTTTTACATATTCAAAACGTTTCTCTTCTCTTTATTTACGTAATTCCTTCGTTTTCCGTTCGCGCCTTAATTACTTCTCTCCTTGAATTGTGTGTCTGCATCTAACTCTTTTTTGTAAACCTGATAGCGTTGTGGTGTAGCCTAGTGCAGTGCTGGTTCTCAGCCTGTATGTATTAGTAACGCCCGCTGCAGATCTAGAAACAGTTCTGCTTAAAAACGTACTTCGTTATTTTCTGTATGTTTCGTTTTCATTGTTCTAAATGAATCGTTCCTAGATCTGTGTTAGGTGTAAGAAGCAAACCCGCTTTTGCTACTTCAACTCCTGTTATTTATTTCGATAGAGTCTCGAGGTTGTTTGATCGCAATAAAAATCATCTATAAGAAATGAGTACATACGCTTTTGAAGAGCATTTCCCTATACTCGTTTCGAAATCAATCAAAGCAAAACGATGCCTTAATCCTAAACAGTGACAAGGTCCCATTGTAATCTTCTTTGACATATTACGTAGACGTAGTAGTGAGTGAATAATTAGAGAAAGTCGCGTGAACAGTTCGTCCATGAGAATCTCCACTTTTTCTTCACCGATCGAGACTAGACGTTGAAGTAGAAATTAGCGCCGCCTCAGGCCTCCTAAACGTTTCCACTACCGCCTCCACTTCTTGTGAAACTCGAAAACGATCTTCTGCTTCGCTTGTGTTGCATGATCCGCGCTCTCCGCGACCATCACGGGTGTGTAAAGAGGGTGTACTCGCTGCCTCTGGCTTCTTGTGACGCGCCCAACCCGATTCATCGCACGAACGCGACGCGGTATCATCGACAAAACGGCGATCACCATCACCATCAACACCATCATCATCTTCGGCATCATCACCAACACGCTCCGTATGAAATGCATCGCCCTAATTCCGGCTGGTAGGAACCTCGCACTCGGTACACGATCGGCGCGTTAATTATTACTCGTCGTACGCTCGTTTGCTTCACTAATCCAGGTATTTCTATACTGGTACTCTTCTTCTTCTCGCTTGCTCTGTCACCTCCTCTCTTTCTTCTTCTTCTGTATCTTCACTGTGTGTATTAACAAAGAACTGACGTGGCAGCAGTAAGACCAAGACGCGGTACTTTCATTCATCAACGAGGCTCCACTCAGAATTCACCTAATGTCAAATCTCTCTGACGAATTTTACTAACGACACAAACAATTTCTTTCAGGATCGTCTGATTGCCAGTAACGCTTGGAAAGACTACGCCTCAGGCGCTAATACGAACTTCGGTTTCGATGCGTTCGAGACGGAGGAGAAGGCCCCGCCGCCGCCGGTGTCCAGTCTACCCCGTCACAGAGAAGTGACCGGTAACGGGCTGAACGGCACCGACACCGTCGAGGGTCCTAATAGAATGATGGGACCTCGCGCGACTTACAGTTTGCCGCGTGCACCAGGCTCGAGGCACACGGCACCGATTCAACCAGGATACTACACGCAAGACCGTAGGGATCACTATCAACGATCGAAGAACAACATGCACAACCCGGGCGGCGGCGTATCGACGCAGCCGAACCAGCCCGACTTCTATTTCATGCCGAGCCAACGCAAATACAGCGGCGAGGTGGTGCGCGTGTACGTGGATTACGGCAGTCAGCAACCGAAGTAATGTACAAAATGGAAGGAGATGAACTTCGATAAGAGGAAGAGGAAGAAGAAGAAGAAGAAGAAGAGTAAAAAAGAACGAAACGCGTCAGTGACAGTGCTGTCCCATTCCCTACTTTCCCTCGATCGCGAATTCCAAGCGGACGATTGTAAGCTACACATATCTCGCTTCAGTGAAGCGACACTGTACATAAAACCAAGTTTAGTGGACCTGGAGAAAACGAGACTTCGAAATGAGCCCTTCCCTCCGGTGCTTCTCTCATCATTACTTCTTTTCTTATTCGATGGATCGTTGTTTTATTATTATTATTATTATTATTATTATTATTATTATTATTATTATTATTCTCTTCCGTCGTCGTCTTTGCCCGATCGCTAGCGAGTGTCGAACGAGGGCAACGCGCACGATTTTTCGTTTTTCTTAAGCGAAAGCTAGACGCAAGAAGTGGCGCTTAAGACCAAAGAGTTATCGATAAGGCGCGCTCGATGCGCGATTCTGTACAAAAGCGCGCAAAAGGAACATACACAACGAACAGCACTGTATCATCACTGTAACTCTCTCGATGCGTGGGCCCAGGTACCAGGTGTTTGAACCGTACCCGTGCGCCGTTACAGCTACGTCTTTACATGTACTTACGAGCAAGCATAGACGTCTGAGCAATAAAACGTTTGTACATTTTTTTAATCGAACGCACGCTTCCTCTTTCAAGGGAAATTCAATAGCTTCAGAAGAAGTGTATCGTGTACGAAGGAACAAAGAGAAACGGAGTCTTGCTCCTTTGTTACGTGCAATTATTTAAGTTCGTTCTCTCGTTATCTAACGTTCAGTTATTTAGCAAAATAGAGTTATAGTCGAAACGAAGTTTCTATCTAAACGAGAAAATTATTTTTTTTTTATGAAGGCAATCGAATCAAAACTGGCTGGGTGCAATGTACATTAGAGTGTAGCATTCTAAAAATACCATTTCATTTAGATTTGCTAATAAATTATAACTGTTTTCGTTCGACGCGAATAGGATGCCGTATGTCAGCGAACAAAACGGAAAGGAAACGAATGGAAACGAAAACTGAGAATTTATATAGTTGTAGTTAATTACCCCATTAACGTTAACAATAATGCTGATAACGATAATCGTGAAACGCTAATGAAAATATACAACGTGGCGAAGTGTCGTCCATAGATATTTCACTTGTATTTTACAGTATTGTAAAATGTATCAAACACGTGTCTGAACAACCTTCGTAAAAGATAAGGGAGAATATTGCAGGTAGGTCAGATTACGCTGCTCACTTTGCATATAAGAAAAAAAGAATTGTCACCTAAATCTCGTTCATGCTATCCGTTGTGTGGATTAGAGAAATTGTAATACTTACAATGATGGGTACCGTCGATAAGTCGATAGTTTTGGTACGGTCTATAAATTATTACAATAGCGAGTAAAATTAACGATAATACTTGTAATAATCATAATAACGATAGTAGCAGCAGTAGTAACGATTGCAATAATATTACAGTATTAATGTATTACATTAACGTCGTTAACGACGGCGTCGCGCGCAAAATCATGACTTCCGACACGTGTTTCTCCATGATGGAATATTTAAGATCAATAATATAATTGATTCGTTCATAATAGTAATTAATATAATAAGGCGACGCCTAATCAGGTAAGCTACATTTTTCTTTTTTAAATATACTCCCGAAAGAGTCTCGTGTGCTCGGAAGCCAATTATAGCACGCATTGCCTCACTTGATCCTATTATTATATAACTAGTGTCGAGCACATATTTTCGGTCCTACCGTAAAATTTATTTAGTTTTTATTCATCTCTTCGGTGCGAAGTATGACAAACAGGGGCCTACACGCTCTGAATCATGTACCGGGCATACCCGCCAAAAAGCACAGACATAATAATCACTTTTTTTATATATTTCACCATGGAAGAATACGAGAAACGATGTATCCATCCGTAAACAATACCTTAACGAATAAATGCGCCTTGAACGTAGTTTATGTACGTATATATATATTTTCTTCGTAAAAGCGAAGAGTACGTATGATACAAACAAAATTTTTTCGCCCTTACCTGATTTTTTGGCGGGTGTGCTCCAACCGATCCATCTAACTTCTTCTTTATTCATATAGACTTTTATTTCTCCTCCTCTTCGTCGCTATCCATTCTTCTTTCACTCAAATGCATCCAAGGACATGCAACACTCGCGCACGTACGCGTATATTACCACTCACTCGTATTGAAATTCTTCTCTCTCGCCCATTCCATTCTTCATTCTTTCCCCCCTCCCCCTTACTCTTCATTTGCATCTCTCTAGCCTAGACGTACTCGCGCACTCTCATCGCTCTCTACAGACACATACGACGCGTAAAATCAACACCATATTAATTTTTCCCATCTTCCTTTTTTTGTTTTCGTTTTATGTTTCATATCAACCGTCGATCAAAGCAGTGTAGTAAGAGAGTACGGACAGGCGAACATCTGATAAATGGAGTGAACACGATAGTAAGGCTTAATTTAAAGTTTTGTTAGTAAATTGTAATTCTGCACGCGCGTTCTATCAGCATTCTCTCCCTCTCTTTCTTACATCCAGCGCACAACAACGGCTGTCTCCCGCACCAGGTGTTCACTCGAACGGATCCCCGGGGCTGTCTCTCACTTCCTACGACTTCACCCTGTCCACTTCTGTAACGTTTCCCTCACCCGCTCGCATATGCCTCCGATTCAAACGACGTCTTTCCCTTTGCTTTCGGTTTCTCGGAACTGTTCGTTTATTTTTTAATCCCGCCTCTAACTCTTTTATTTCCTTTTTTTTACTTTGTAACAGCTATCTATATTGTCACTCCGGCAGATGCCACACGATAGTTCCCCCATCAAATCCGTCCCGCTAGTTTGAGTCGCTCTCGTACACGTACATCCGCCGCTTACGTCTCGCCATTTCACTTTCTTTGCCTTACGTCGGAGTCCTTGTTGGGTGTTGGTTTGCTGTAGAACAAAACGAACATAATTATTAAAACTGGAATAACGGATGCTTGAAGGCGACTGGTCATCGTGAATGAGTCACGGATATTACGCGGTGATCAATACGCGATGCAATGTACTGAATGCACCGAACGTAGTTTGTCATGACGGAGCACTGATTCATGAATGACCCATTAACTGAAAAGAACATAAAGCTGCTTTTCCAAATATGAAAATCGCTCTAATTCATCGTGCGACTGATTATATCGGAAGTAAAAAGTTTTAGACAGGAATTGCCCTTTCCAGCTTGAAAAATAAGAACAGCCACGCACATATGTTATATTTATGCAAGATCCCCACGAATATGTTCTAACGGAGATCTTGTATCGTAGGCTTCCTTCTTCCATTTTACATAATGAATTTACGCTGGCGTTTCTTTACTTTCACGGTGCTGTCTTTTGGAAAAGCGCCAGTAAAGCTGAAAGCGTCTGCACGGCTTCACTGGTAAAGGTCTAAAGCAATAGCGGGATAGACTCAGTCGCGCCGGTGCAGACGAATGACGTGGTTTGAGTAAGGAGTGCAACTGGGTACTCCTGCGACCTGGGGATTGTGACATCGGCATTGGTGTTACAGGAGGATCGACAGGGAGGTCAGAGGGTGGGAGGGGTCCCCGTAAGGGAATATAGTATTCCAGTCTGTCGTCTGTACTTCTACTTGGGAATCTGTGGACACATGGAGCGAGGAATGAATGGAAAATCGCCTTAGGAATTCAGCTGCACTGCCTCGATAAAAGTGTCTACTACGATTCTCTGTATTCTGTTCTCTATTTCTCAATGGTATAACGTTCCCGCAGGACGTCGAGGCTACGTTTTATCAAGGAATTTGTTGTTGATGAGATATACGTACGTGTCAGGGCTCTGATCAGTGTCAGATTCCTCGAGTTCAGCCTTGTTTCGTTTCTTCTCGTAGACTAGAATGATGGTACACAGAACAACGACCTCCGCGCAAATGCCTAAGAAAGGCCAGAGTGCTGCGAGCTTGTCTTTGACCCTGAGTGTTGTGGTTGCGTCTGCTATGTGATTCTCAGAGGTATCGGACCGATTGTAGGATACCAAGCAGGAAACCTCGCCACGATCGCTCATCTCGATATTGTCCACTGTTAGAATAGCACCGTATATGCCTCTCTCATGGTCCCACCCGAGTTTAACGCGGCCGCTGCTGGTGGTGTAATTCTGGTTCCCGAACGTCCATGTTACTTTGATACCGGGACTCTGTTTACCGGCGCACGTTAAATGCAGCTTCTCTCCTTCCACCACGTTCGTCGAGCTGGGCATGTATGCCGTAGGTTTCGCTGTGAATGACAAAGTTCATTTATTAAGAACAATTTCAAGTTAAATAAAACCAGAGGCATTCCACGTTGAGAATTTTTTGAATTTTCTCAACTGACCTGAGTTATCGTTAAACATTATAAATTCAACAAGCAAAACTAAGAAGAATTGCATCTTACAAATGAAAAAAACTGACACGCGATTAGAGATTCGGAGATAATATTCTGTATCTTATATGCTAAATCACGATTCACATAGGATATGAACGTTTTTAATAATATAACAACGCCATGACAACTATTCACACACCAGTATCAATTGTTTTATCGACGTTCAATGTCAAACTTCTTTTTTAAAAACCGTTTATACTAATGTATACTTACGTACGACTCTGTACTCCGTGGTGGAGTTCGTTCCTTTGCAAGTGTAATTTCCGATAAAGATTTCGGTGCTCTTTAGAATTTCCAGAATACCGGTTTCGTTGTCTAGCTTGTACATATCCTCGTGCTCAGCGAGAGCTACTTGCAAAGGCTTGTTCTCCTTCGTCCATTGCACCTTCTCTCCACTGCTCTTGTTCATACACTCTAATACCATCGGAACATCATTGGAAGTAAGTACTCGTATCTTCAAATCTGTGTCAAACGAGAATCGATCCGTTTTAATTCACGTCGACGGTTATTTAATATCCTTCGTGCAGCAGAAAGCTGTTGCACGAACTTCACGAAAGTTAGCACAATTTCATGAATTTGTTAACGTTGAATTATAGCAGCAAAGAAAAGAGGAGGGGGAAATACCGAGTTTATATTATATACAATAGAACTTCGATCAGTTTGACTTTGTACAAGTGTACTAGAATTATATAACATATATTTCGAAATTTCTCAAACGATTCAAGATCCCACTTTTCTTATCTGTAATATTTGCTCTTATCAGAATAGTCCAGGTCGTCGTTATCTTTTGAATGTGTAACAAAAGCAACGTGAAAATCGATTTATCATTCTCCTGGATAAAATATATATGCTTCTTAAATACAACGTATCTTACATAGCATATAACTTATTCAGAACTAGCTACTTATTACAGCAAAACAAAATGTTTCATTATCTCTCTAATATATGTAAAGATAATTTAATGATGAGTTATACATGAGTCTATAAATTCTCAAGCAGATACTCAGCTAGCATTACGATTCTACGAAACGATCATTCGAATTGCCTGTTAATTCTGCTGTTAATCTTCGAATTCCAAGAACCTCTGAGTTCCATTGATTTCAGTCACAGCACGCCTAAGTAATAATTTTAATGCGATCAGCTGCAAGAGTAAAACTTAAGATAGGTTTCTTAAATCTTCCCAACTATGGGGGGGACATTGTCTCTGCGATAAGAGTTGCAAACAAATATCAACGGTGATATAAACGAGTAGCGAACGATTGCCACGTGAATTACGTCACGAAAACACAAACATTTCCTCGAAACGGTTAGTTTTATCAAAAAGAAACGTTTCATGGTCGATGAGAAACATTCCACAATTTTCTGAACCACCGTTTGGTCTCCGTGTAGTCAGTACCAGGTCTGGAGTATATTCTAATCGCCTCTAATTACCATTTACATTTGCGCAACTAGATAAGCATCGAAGCTATGGAATCATGCGTCATCGCCAAGACTGCTATTTCGGAAAAATTTCGCACGACCAGAATAAATAATTTTAACAAACCTTGCAATTAAAAAAGTGCGAAAACAATTAAAATAATCTTCATAAAGTTCTTGCTTTCTAAGATTGATACAGCTGTGTCACTATTCTTCCGGAACAGCAATGATGCATATGTATATTTATCTGTACAACGATGAATAACTCCACCGTGCGATAATGCACACAAAACACATTAGTTAACAGCGGACGACTTACGCATAAAAATTAAATTAAAAAGCTCGAGCAAGAACATCGCCAGTATGAACGAACTTTGAACTTTCGAAGCCTGGGTTAATGAACAACAGACAGAACGATGACAGACGATGCTCTTTCGTTAGTGACGTGATAAATGAATCACTTACAAATATTAATACTTTCAAGCAAAGTGGCGTTACGTCAAACTTCAATAATCACGGGGGGTGGTAAGTATAGGTAACCGTGGTAGGTAACCATGGTATGAAAGTGGAAGCGCTTTATATTACACAAGTATGTTCTAAAATGAACTTTACCGGCTAGCTGTAATCTTGCATCAGACTTTACTATGCAAAACCACACGAACAGCAATATACATAGCGTCTATAAAAGCATGCAAATAATCGAATGGCTCAGCGTGTTAATAATGGTACAAAAAGCATCGCTTTGTTTTTTGAGTCCTTCGATTACACTGTGGGATACACGGAAGGGAACAAACGCAATAAACGTGTAACAAAAATAAGCGCAACGTGTATCGCTAAAAAACAAAAAAAATAACGTAAATATAATAAGAAAATCTACACCGGCGAACGAACCGAATTCTATCAAGAGATGGAAGGACTCGCTGCTGTCCTGGGTACATTTGTAGTCTCCGTCGTGGATATCCGTGGCGTGCTTCGCCTCGAGGGTGCTGGTCCCGGTGCCGGTCGGCGAATGAACCATCAGCTTACCACTGGCCAGCTCCGGCTCGAGCGATTGCCCATTCCTGGTCCATCTGATCAGGTCATCCGGCTTCAGCCCGCTACACTCGATCGACCAAGGTTGACCCTCGCGCACATCCTTCGCTCCTTTGTACGTTACTTTATCGGGAAGAACATACGAGGCACTCGAGTCAACAGGGTGTACGACAACGACCACCCGGTTATAATGGCTCTACCGGTCGCCTGGTCTTCACGAGGACTATTACGTCTGCCGTTGTTCCCCGAAAGATAATATCATGCAAATCGACCCTTTCTCTAATAATTAACCACCCCTGTTACATTTGCAATAAAAAATATATTTCAAAATAAAAAGATTTATGAGAGTTTACGCGAGTCCTCTAGTGTTTGTTGCACCATTTTATGAGAGAATCGAAGCCTATTTCTAAATCAGAGCCAAAAAGTCAATCGAGAGAGGTGCAGGAACACCGTTGATCCGGCAGAGGACATATGCAGACCCGGCGATTCCTATTTATTTTTAGCGCTTTATTCTTTATCTGCGACACACCCCGTTCGTCCTCGTGTACACCAACTCGACCAGATGAAATTATAATGCATGCAGGCAGCACGGCAGGGGAAAGGGACTGATAATCACGAACACGTCGGGCTGACCTATAAAGTGGTGCCGCTGGCTTCTGCCTTCCCTGTTAAACGATTTAAGAATACACCGCGACCAGAGATACATCAGGGATCGATGTTTGTTTGCAGTTTAAACGTTTACGTAATTCGATTTCGCTCCGGTAACGAATGGATCGAGTAATCTCTGGTAAACCAGTAACTTTCATTTTGGCAACCATCTATAATAGCGAGACTCAAACAGGAGCGATACACCTCGCAAAGATTAAGTTCATCCACTGATTTTATCGTTTAATCACTCGTCTTTGACTCTCATTCCGCTCATGAAATATACTGCTCCAAGGCTCGTAATTATTGGTTTTTAATTAAGAGGTTTCACACAGGGGAATAAAAAGAAAATAAGGTTTCACACGTGTCATAATTCCCCAAGGGATGTCTAAGTCTACAGTCAGATAAAATCAAATGAAATATTCTCACAATTCTTATTATTAATCTGTAACAAAGAATTCTTTATGAACAGATATTGAAATGTTGTAAAATTAGGATACAATGCATATGACATTTTTTTTGTTATCCGACCATAGGGGAGAGAATGAAAATCGCGTATGCGCCAGAACTTTATTGTATAAAATAGGAAATGGAATCAGGCTATCAAGTTTAAGACACGGTCAACGAAATTCGAGCTATACTCGAACGTGGGGGTGAGTTGGGAAAAAGATCGATAGCATGGCGAGCACGTGCCGTACGACCCTAAGATTGGCTAGAGTATAATGGAATCGTGTGCTCTGCGTAGGTGCGGCTAGAAGAAGGGGCTGGAACCTTGTCATTCATTTGTAATGTAAACCTTTTACCACGACTTTCAATGCATCGGTAACTCGTCAAATAATTGATATTTGCATTTTTCAAAACTTATAATTCATTGAATAAACGTGAATGATACAGCCTCGGTACACAATTTCTGAAAAAAAGTTTGTCCTATTATAATAATTTCAAGCATCGGCGAATTCGTTTCGAGATGTCCAGCTTGAAATAAACGTAAACACACAATCGATTTCAGATAAAAATACTTAGGCAAGTGCGAGGCATGCATGTCTTTTTTCACGTTTGTATGACGAGCTCGAACGCGACCGAGCTGGAACCGTACCATGCCTTCTGTCCAGCAGATACGCGAACAGTTAAAGAATAGATAGTGGAGCTGACGAAAATCTTCGAACTCGTTCTATGCAGAAATATAGAGAACACGATGGAGGACGTAGGAATTGGAACGCCCGTGATCTAGGGCGCAATTTGGCAACTTGGAATTACACGTACACGCGAGATGAAGCACAAAAGTGAGAGAGCCGATGCTCGTAAACAAGCTCTCTGTTACCCTGACAACGAGGGCCGAGAATGTCTATCTACTTAATCCGTTACGAAGCTGAACTCATTCAGAAAGAAGTCGAAAAGTAAAGAATGATTTGCGAACTTGGAACCGACCTGTCGTGCAGTCAATTTGAATGCAGAATCCAATTAGATTGCTGGCTTACAACGAGCTTAGAAGATAAACAAATTTCGAATACGGGTCACTGAAAAGCCGGTCAGTGCACCTTCTGATAAACTCGTCGGCCTCTGCGAAAGTGAGGGTGGAGCCAATTGCGGCACGATTTTCCGATAGGAATACGATGCAATTTTTCTGCCCCAATAAACCTTGTAGATAGATGAAATTACTCGAGGAGCTTCGCGTGTCTCATACAATACGTAAACAATTCAACAGATTAAATATTGATTTTAATAACCAACATAATTGTTAAACACGTCAATAATTGATTACGTTATTCGTGTAAATAAGTATGATTAACGAATGACCAAATACTTGCATAGGGAGTTCGAATGCACGGATGAACAATGAACGAATGAATAATGCATTGTACGATAATCTCCTAAGCGAAGTATCTAAACTCTAAACTTATATTGACTAACAGAAAAGTTATCCAACGAGGCCGGTAAACACTTCTAAACTGAGGCTGCAAATTAACTTCCCCGATGTTTCATTTAACGCGTTAATGACTAACAATGCAGCGTGTACATACGCGAGCTTCGTAAGTGACTCTTCCGTCAGCAGAGCCTTCCTTTTGTTCTCGAGCTCAGATATCTCGCGGCAAACACAACGAACAAGGTTTGAAATTCGATAGGGCAGTAGCTAGAGTAAACAGAAAGAGCTAGGACGATCTAGTCTGATGTTTGTACGCAAAATCGTGAACAGAGCCTTCAACAGTAAATAGGAACATCTTTATCTTCTTTAACCAGTCCCACTGTTTCCGCTCGTACGCGAATGTTCGAAAGCTCGATAAAGCTTGTTTCCTATCGCGTAGTACCTTCGAACGAACGTAACTTTCCGTGAAAAACAAAAGGCACGAGAAAAATTGGAGCGACGATTTGACTTATCAACGTGAACAGTTCGCCGACGTAACAACGCTTACGGTGCGGTGGCTGGAAATAGTATGTAATTTAATCGTGTGCAATTCAGATGGGAATGCGTGTTCCGACTTATTAGGTACATAAAGGGAAGATTAACGGTAATTGGATTTGAAACCGCGGTAGAATTCGTTAAATATCTTCCCGCTTAATTTGCCTAATTTCACGCTGAGGCAGGGCTGAATTTTAAACGTAAACCAATCTACTGTGTGTTTACGCATGTTTACGTCAGCCAGTCAATAACAGATCCCGGTACTCTTACGTCATCCTCGGGATGGGATAGCGGGTATACGTAGCATACTACATTTGCCAACGATACGCATGCGATGATTTACACGGCCAATTTGTATCTGTAAAAACGTACAATGCGAAAACCACCAATTTTTAAACGCGGTTACGTGTCGCGATAATTCTTCCGCCATTCTTCTATTTTAAAGATTCCTTCACGTTAGAACAATTTATTGCTGTTAAAAAAAATTACCTCGACTTGAAGGCTCAATTAAATAAATGAAATTTCGCATCATTCGTTTCGAACACCAATTGTTTCGTATCTTCCAGCATAATTTGCGTCACGACATTAATTAAAAAATATCGAAAATCCAACGCATGTGCTTCCTACGTGGACACCAATGCACGTTCTGGCACTTAATTAAAACCCGAAAATTACTTAAGTACACATATATACATACAATGTAATTACACACCGTCGGAATCTGGAGAACGCCAGCTGCGGATAGTCTCCACGGTGGTGCACGTCGCACGAGTAACACAGAAATAGTCAGCATGCACGAGGATCAGACGATAATTTAATATGTCCCAAAAGAAATTATGTGAGTCTCATCGATGGACAATATCGATGAAACAGACTCATTCTCATTTTTACATTGGCATACAATTTATCGTGTTACATAGCGCATAATATTTTTAATCGTCACTGAGCCCTGTCTAACTCTAAAGATATCTCTTAAACGGTTTATCTTGACGATTGAGATTGATAACAGGGGATATGCGGCTGTTGTACAAATAACAGGTATGAAATTAATTTCCGTCGGGTTTCGAGTTCGAGATAAACAGGGTAGGTTCACGTAACTTGACATTTTGCTGACGAATCGGTAAAACCGCCATGAAATTCTTGACGAATCGGCACGCGTCACGGTGGTATTTGCCAGCAACTGTAACAAAGGTCGGGTGGTATCGGTTTTGCGAACATGATTCACGTTAATAACACGCTGCAGTCTACTTTATCGTGGAAACGAGTTTCGAATCGAACGATGACCGTGCGACAGGGTTAATAGAGAATTGACGCTCGTTATCCACGCATCGGTACTCGCGCTCGTATTCGAAACCAGTTCCAACCTAGACCTAACCCAGACCTAGAATACAGAAAGACGGACAAAAGTTTTCAGCCGGTTCGCTCGCCTACCAGTTATGTAATACAACTAAAGATACCCTAATGAATTTATTTCGGTGATGCATAAAGCGATTCTTGTTGTGTGGCGGATATATCGCGGAACAAGTTAAATCAAAGACGTCAGGCTAGTTAAACGAGGGTCATTATAAAGTTGTTTCTGTCGCTGTATATAAAAGGAAGCAACCGATCAAACAACGAAACCATTAGCCCATGTTTTCGCATAAGTAGAGAGTGACGAGATATTCGAAATCGATTGCTACAAGTCATGCTCGTTATCTCTGCCGATACACAGTTATCGAGATTATCTTTTCCTAACCAGCTTAATGCATCCTAACAACCACTTGTCAGTTTGCCCTGTTTATTAATTGCAATGTCTTATATGGAAGAAGTTACAACTTTTAACGTCGACGAAAGACGAACGTCTAATTTGTTTTTATTCGAAAAATATGTGTTCGATCGAGCTTAGAATTTGTATGTCGTTACTGCCGCTGCATTATTCTATGGTACGTGCTAAAGGGTCAAAAATAGACGCGTGCTCCCAGGGTTAAACGCAAGCATTCTTATCGTCTGGTTTGCGAGCGACCGCAAACCGGGGCGAATGAAAACATTCACCGTGCTAGTAGAGAATGGAGGTTAAGTTTACATTTCAATAAACAAGACACGCAAGCTAAGAATATAATCGAAGACGCGTGTTAATCTTACATCTATAACAAGCGATATCAAATCTCAGCACGACCACCGTTTGATATATTCTATTAAAGAATAATTCGTCTTAGATTTTATGATGCTCTAAAACGCTCACAACCATCTGCTTTATGAATCCCATATCACGACAGAGACAGAATGAAAATTATATTCATAGACTCCGTTCTAAATATAAGTATTCTGACGGACAGTTGAATTTTTTTCACGCTACACATTTCCACAGGTTAATGCACGCTGGCTCGGTTTTTTAAAACTCGCTTCTCAAAACTGGTGTCTAATATAAATCGCGCGAAAATTTCTTGCACGGGCCAGTAAATAACTGTTCGAAGACGTACGCGGACTGATTTTCTGTTCGTTCCGGTGATCCCACAGATTTCAATGTAATTACTGGCCGAACGCGAACTTCCGCGTAACGATCGCTAAAAGCGAGTAAAGTTTTCTTGGTGGACTGATAAAATAGGGTCAATTGTTACGCAACAAAAGTTGCTTGGCGTGGGTACTTTGCGTACGTCTCTCGGAATGTAGTAGCTGCAGCATCGAACGTGAGCGAATCCCGGTGTCTTGCCTCGCGTCGGTATTAACCAGGGGTGCACAACTGGCGAGGGTCGAAATTCCGCCGACACGACCAGAACGTGACTTTACACCTCGCGAAACAGATGTTTATGTAATATGCGTAGAACCATTGCAAGATTAAACACATACAACATCGTTATCTGTTTCATTGTTAACTATTACACATTTGTACCTCGGTTATGTATTTCCAAGTTATGCAGTGAATGTTTGATACTCCTTGAACAAAATCCTATGCCCCATACCTCTCATAGTGTCAACATAAAAATACTCCTAAATATATAGGAGCATTATGAAAGAAATAGAAGCACATAAAATTATACGTAGATTCGTCGAGAGAATACGTATCTTTGCCAACAAGCCTTCGACACAGTTGGAAATAATTTCTGCGCGAATGCCGCTGCGACAGTTATCACGCATCCAATTGAATTTGCTGAGACGAAATGATTCCAGAAGTGTCGGTCCTCCGTACGTGCAAATAAGACTTCATCGTGACACACGTGATACCTTGAGTATTTCATGTAACGCGACCGATCGAACGTCTATAAACTCTATATACGTACGTATAATGATAATGGCTGTGGAATATACCTATCACGGATGGCAATTTCTTTGAAAACCGCTTCACGTAATCCGATCATGGAAATTGTTTGAGTATGCATTCATGCGATTCGTGAGAGAAGGTCGAGAATGGATTGATATGGCCATCGTGTATTCAATATCGCGTTGGGATTCTCGCGCTACTAAACGCGATGCGGTGTAATCAAAACTAAAAATAGAATTTCATAATCTGTCAGTACGCGTCGCCTACATTAAATGCGGTGTGTTCGCGAAAGTCGCGTTCCAAGGGACCGGGCCCGAGTGTTTGCATGCAAAACGTGCAGTTTCAGGAAAGTCGTGTAAATAACCTTGCTTGCAATTAGCGTAAGCGCGACAAAGGATACATTTCGGGTACCATGTGATAAGTACGTCACAGATCTGACGAGTTCCTTAAATTCGACCGATAACGTCTAGCATGCATGTGATTCAATTTGAACGAGTTTAACATCTTGTTATGTCTCCGAGGAAGGAAACAAGGAAAATATTGACGAATGCCGATGGCAATGTAAGTTTTTCCCAGAAATAAGACACCATCGATGTTCTATCCGTCAGTCGTAAATGTCGACCTTGTCACATCAAATTGTGCCTGATCTCACGCGTGTTTTATATAATAAAGGGAAAACGAATGAAATGTTTCCTGTTCGATTAAAGTATTCAGGAATATCGTTCGATAAAAGAAGGAACGTGAAGAGGAAACACGAGGGACGATGATTTGACAACGCGATGAATTCTGACGATGTACAGAGACAAAGGGAAAGAAAGTACGGAATGGAATACGAATAAACGAATAGGTTGAACGGTGGTCAATCCGAAAGAGAAGATAAGTCTCACCTGCCTGGACCGTGACGAGGGTGCTCGCTAAATATAGCATCCTCAGCAGCACAAAAGCAGCTCCTCGCTTGTCCATCTCGTGGCGCTGATGTACGCGGTGGCGCGTGACTGTGTGCACCGTGGAATACTTAACGATCTCGCTTAACGAACAGGGTTTCTAAACAAGAAACCACAAAACAGGGCCGCCTAGGCTGGGCTGCCGTAACTCCGTTTTCGCGATCGTTGCCGCCGTCGTATCGTGGCCGCCGCCGTCGTGAACGTGCTCGTGCTTGTCACCGTCGCCGTCGCTGTCGACTCCTGCAACACCCTTCCCAGTTGTCGGCAGCAGCTCCTCCTTTTCGGCTGTCCACTCGGCCAACTACGATCGAGCCCCACTACTATCTGCGAGATCGTTTACACACGTACTCTCGTCACTTCAAACCACGCCGTACCATTGACGTCTGATATATTCCCCTTATCGCTTATCTCTCGCGCCGCGACTTTATCTCGATGCGCACAAAACAACACCGACCGATTCCGTCCGACTACCACCGTTTCCTTTCTTTCTTTGCCACCTTTCAATTCGGGTTAAATCGCGCACCACGAGCGGCACGAACGGTAATGTCAGGAAAAATGGCTGCCCCTGTCTTCTGCTTAATTTTCTACACGGACGTCTTTCTCGCTTTCTCAAATCTTGTTCCTTCCTTCTCGCTCCCCGGCGAACTGATCGCTGATGTCCTCTACGGCTGCCCCGCAAGCTTCACTGACGCATGCGCGATAATTACGTTCCATAAAAATATAGATAGCCAAGCGATTTTTTAAGCAACATTTTTATTACGGTTTAACACGAAAGATCCATCGAATGAGCTACTAGTTTCTAATGGAATTATTTTTATCTTTCATACAGCGAAGGCTGGGTTACAAAACGCGCCGGCGTTATTTAAGCGAAACTCAAAATTAAAGTGCACATAGACGACTATTTACAAAATGACTCACGATATCAATACTGTAGACAGTGTAATAGTGAAGTCAAAAATTGAGTTTCATACTGCTAAAAGATACTGCAATTTATGCACGACTCTAATTATTAAACACGAGCGCAATGCCAAAAATATAAACTCGATCAGCTTTGGTTATTATCAAATGATGTTATAGCCTGATTTTTCATACAAATTTTATCCAAATATTCGCTTGGATCTTTTAAATACGTTTATTGAACAAAATATTGAAATATATTCACTACTAAATTGTATAAATTTGTACATTTTCAGATGTATGCAAATTCACATTTTTATTCATACGGCGCGCACTAGGCATTCAGTTTAACCAACCACGAAA